ACGTAGTGATTAGCCTTCTTGCGCCAGCCTCGGGTTGATGTGTTGAGCTTGAATAGCAACAGGAAGTTGGGGGCTTTCTTGAAGTGAAGTGAATCAACGCACTGAATTTCGTGCGCTTCGCGAAATTTGCGTTCGATCACAAAGCAGAGATTGGGACACGCTTGACCATTCCGTTTGTACATCAATTCACAAACTGATTTAAGATTTGGATAACCCCATATAGGGGTTCGGCATACGTAGCTATTAATGGTTGCCTTGGTCAATTTGATGAACACACCGTTTTAATGTGGCGAAGACAGAACTGTAAAACTACGCACTTTTTGTGCAACTTTGTTGATACCGCGGATGCGGATCATAAAAGCCAATTTGGATTTTTCAGGCCCGTCGAATTGGCCGCATTTCTTTGCCACACAGCGTTACTCCATCTCACGGCGTCCATCACGGAGTTTTCTTGTTTATATTTCTCAGCATGCACCAAGTTTTCACATTTAAGGAGTGCAATCACAGCAGAGCGCTTTAGTTTACGTTTGATCAGGGTAGCAATTGGCTGTCCTGCTCTTGCGGAACTGCAGCTTCGGCTCGGGGACAGGAGGCAGCTTCCTGGAAGGTTGTCTGCCCTTTGCTTGCGGTTTCTTACCGGCCCATGATGGCAGTCATCTTAACTTGTTACTTAGCACGTTGAAAAGGCGAAAAATAGTTCGCAAATGTTTGGAGCACATCGTAAATGAGCCACTCGATTTATAACATTTCTATAAACAATTTAATTAAATACTTTCTATACATAGATATGCTGCAACCATGCACTTACTTTCCCAAATTCCATCCTGTTTATCGGCATAATTTTCCAAATATGCCAGCTACTTCATTACTAATTACTAAATTTTCCAACTGCGCCTTCTTTGTTGGCTCGACATATCCTAAAAAGACAAATTTACATTAAACAATAGAAATCGCAAAAATTAGCAAATAAAATACTCGCTTTGTTTTGTTTTGTTGTCAAATTTCTGAGAAATATGAATTCACCACGATGCGATACAGAAAGAACAAGGACCAGGGATGTAAGTTTAAGTAAATCTATTATTCAGTGGCAAGGCGCAGAGCGTTCGGGGCAGCAATATTAATTTGTATCAAATATAACATTAAACGGTGGTTCTAATACATTTTTTGATATTATTAACCAGAGTACATACATTATATGGTATTTCTTTCAAAATTAATGTACTATATGAACTTTTTTTTCAAATATTTCTTAAGTTTCTTTCATGAGTGCTGAAAAGCAACCATGCGTGTAAGAAATTGTGTGCTACCTAAAATTTCACCTCTGGAAACTTTATCCCCATAAAGGACTTCACCACAGTTTTTTTACTGGATATACTGAGCTGCGGACTTAAGGCCCGTCCACATACAACTTTGGCGTTGCTTCGGCGCTGGCGTCGCTTTGACAGTAGCGCGAGTATCGCCCGTGCTTGCTACAATGAACGCGTAGCAGAGAATACTTTGGTCACTAAATTAATATACTAGCGGCAGATAAATCAAAATTTTCAATCAATAATTGCATTAAAAACTATATTTCTTGTCCGCATTTGATTAAAAATGAAAATTAAATCACGTACAAATACAAGTACTAGTAACAATTCGTAACAATTTTTTGATATTGAATGAACCTAACTTTTCTAGTAAAAATTGCAGCGAGAGCGAAAAAGCGAAATATAGTAAAATTGAGAAGTAGAGAAAACTAGGAGGAAAAGGTATTCTAGTAAAAACTATAAACTTAGGGCATTTTTACACTTGCTGATGGTTAAGTTTTTGCACGCAATTTTCCTTTTGATCGGGAATATTTCCCAACGTCATAAAATTAAAAACCTAAATTAGACTTAAATTATGCAATCATATTTTTATTTCACAATTAACAAATGTTTTCATCAAATCTCCCCTAAAACCCCTTGTTAACATTTGAATTTGAAACAATACTGGGCTGGGCACACGTGTCCCATCCAGCTTATACTGCCTGACGTATCACGTAATTTTCTTTCGTGTCGTATTCGATCACTGAACGGATATTACGATTCGAACCCTGATTTTCTAACCATTGCAATTTCCTGCTAGTACCAAATTTTACCAACAGGAATTTGCAGCTCTCCCGTTTCGTTACGCTCTCTCTTCAGTGCCCTCTAGCAAAGTTTTTGGGTTATTTTACAAATTTCCAGTTAAAATTGGCAGGTCTTACTAAAATTAGGATTCAGTTTGTTATTATACACACCTATTTACCAACCAACAGCTGTTGCACACGTGTGGTCGCGTTGAGGGCAGAAGTTGGAAAAGTTTACAAAAACGAGTTAATTGAAAAAATTAACTTATCGGGTTATATTACAAAGCAAATTTATCTAAAGCTCAGGTATGGGTGCAACAAGGAATACTGATTTGATAACCACCATTGAGGATGATGCGGAAGTAGAAAATTTTTCTGAAGACTCGGATGCCGAAGTGGATGTAAGTAGGCATTGTTTGGAAATAATTTAAACACAAATTAACAGCGATATCTTGTCCATAGTATCAACCGACAAAAGTTCGTCGCAAAAAGGAAGCCGAGTTCGAAAAAGGATTTCAGTTTGTATCATCGGTTAAGGAGTACAACCAAGATACCTGGGATGACTTGATGAAATATGTGAAGCGTAAGGCGCGCACGAAGACTGATGACAAAATTGCAGCGCGTATACAAAAACGTGAGGCTGAAGGATATCGACCAGAAGGTGGAGATAGTGATAATGAAGATGAGGTACCTAACTCGATTCAGTAATTATATCCTGTATATCTGTATATATATATATTTTAATATTTTTCTCGTATATGTAGATTCCACTCTCCGACGACGAGCTCAAGCATGATAACTTGCGCCTACGTGAGAAAAAGTTGGCTAAGAGGAAGAAAAAGAAATCGAACGATGCTTCTGACGAAGAAGAGGACAAAGGTGAAAAGATGCAATTTGACGAAGCTATTGAAGGCAATGAAATCATAACATCCTTCTATCAGATGAATTTGTCACGTCCACTGATGCGTGCCATCGGTGTGTTAGGATATATCTATCCAACACCTATACAGTCATCCACAATACCGATCGCATTGCTCGGCCGTGATATCTGCGGTTGTGCGGCTACTGGAACGGGTAAAACGGCAGCGTACATGTTACCTACGTTGGAACGTCTTTTATACAGACCTATGAATAACAAAACCATTACTCGTGTGCTTGTATTAGTACCTACACGTGAGTTGGGCGCACAGGTCTACCAGGTCACAAAACAATTGTGTCAGTTCACCACAATTGATGTGGGATTGGCAATTGGTGGATTGGATGTTAAGGCACAAGAATTGGTACTGCGTCAAAATCCCGATGTGGTAATAGCTACACCTGGCCGTCTTATCGATCATATTAAGAATACACCGAGTTTTAGTTTGGATTCTATAGAGGTAAGTAAAAAAATCAAAAAGCAGTTACTAAAATATTTGCAGCTTCCTTTATTTTTGCTCTATTTTTGAACTCAAATTTCGTTTATGATGAACCCTATCCTTGCGCTCTGAAAAGCCTCATGGGCAGCCTCTGTGGAACTCTTTAGTTATGCTTCGTAGGAAGTGTAACCTGAAACGTTCATAAACTTGTCGAAAAAAAAAA